GGCTGTTTCAGACTATTTCCGACTGTTTGTTAAGTTATACCAGTTTGGCGTAGGAGAATACCGTTCTAAAAACGAAATTAAGCATGCGTAATTTAAACGTAAGTTATACATCCGTTTAATTTTTTTTTTTTTGATAGGTTCTGTTAAAAAAAATCTATGTCGACATAAAATTTCTCTTTTTAACGTATACTAATTTACTTAAAACGAAATTAAACATGATTAAATGTACTTACCGATTTGAAGTAATTGATGTGAAAAAAATTTTCAGCTTCAACATTCCAAAGTTCTTCTAGATTTTGAGGTTCAAGCAGATGAAAAGATGAGAGTTTTTTTTGTGTTGGAAGCTCGTTTTGAAGTTTTTATAAGTGGGGAAATGTTTGATTTTCAATTATTAAGTAAAAGGGTAGTTAAGTCCTTTCAACAATATATGGTTTTGTAATTGTACAAAACATTTAAGGGTATCTTTGTCTTTTACCATATAAGAGGCCAATGTCATAATATTCATTATTTTGGAAGTCAAACTGAAATTTTGCTCCTTTGACCGGGTCAAAATTAAAAGTACCCCCAAAGTACAGAGGGGCTACATGTTGCGCCACTATATTATAATGAACCAAGCTGCTCTACCAGACTCATCCCTTACAGACCATTTACAAACCTCACACAAAACAAAGGAGGGTGGGCATTTATGGGTATTATTTTACCAAGATTGGTCCCACCTCATGTGAGCACCGTAGAGAGCCTGTGAGGCTCAAAGCTTGTCGGACAAGCATTGTTCAATTCTAATTGCTAATATAGAAAAATCAAAATGATATACTATAGAAAATGTAGCAGGACTATAATGCCGTAAGCCCATAAGTAATGCAAAATAGGCTAGTCGATTACTTGTGCGAGGGAGACATCAAGATCAAATATAAGAGGGTAGACATTGAAAACAATAATTCGATATTCCAGTTCAACTGAAGATCTAGCAACATATCACTACGAAGATTGAATTATGACCAAGAAATACAACACAAGCATGAGCAAAGCCATGATCATCATTATTGGCATGCCACAAACACACACACACACACAAAAGTAAATAAATAAATAAAAATAAAAATAAAAAAAACTTTTTCGCAAAGAAAAATATCAAGAGCAATAGTATCTTTAAGATTGTCTTATAGTGGTCAGGTTGATAAGAACTAATCTACTTGTATAAAGTTTGTTTACAAACTAAGTGTTGACAAAATCTAGACCATTAATTTTCATTAATTTCAAAAACTATTTTTGAAATAATTGACTTCGATGTCGTCAAGACATAGTTTATAAATCAAGTTTGTCAACCTATTTTGTACGAATAGCATGATTCAATTGTTAATAGTATTTAAGTTTTTGTGTAGTCAATGCTTGGAACGAAAGTACTCATCTGCGTCATACCATACCACGCCCTTCCCGTAATTTAAATGGAAGAAAGCAGAATGAATAGTATTCTGTTCGAAACAAGAAGTATCTTGGCTACGATGTCACGCCCTTCTCATTATATACAGCACATTATTCACAAATGAAGAGGTTATAAAATTTATCAAATTTCAAAGAAATAAAACAGAAAATGGACAAAATCCTCACCTAACTTGGTAGACTCCCCCCATTAACCTAAATGCAGTATAAGCAATTATTTATCCATATTATGAATGAGAACTGTTTCAACCCCTATTTCNAATAAAAAAAAATAAAAAAAAAAAAAAAAAAAAAAAGCAATAAGGAAACTCTTTTGGACGGTTCAGATTTAAAGAAATCTAAGGCGGTAGGCTAAATCTACGGTGGCAGAGAATGGGTAAGGGTCCATCCATAAATAGGCCGCCTTTGAAAGCTCAAAACCTCAGGAAGCAGCACTAGAGTCCATTAGGGTTTAGAGTTTCGTTCTTTCTAAGCCCAGCTTCTTCTCTTCTCTCCCTCCATTAATTTTTCTTCAAAATAAACCGTAAATTGATTAACGTTAAACCCTAAACCTTTGTTTTGCGTCGTAAAGATTTTCAGTTCGCCATTGAAGTAAGTTTTCAATTCATCGATGGGAGCTTCTTTTTTTTATTTTTATTTTAACGTTATTATTCTTGTGTTCACCTGATTTAGCCGCAAGTTATTACTGTTCTACTGCTTGAAACATGTTATAAAGTTGTAATTTTTATTGATTACTCTGGTTTTTGGTATATAAATTTTTCTGCGTGAAGGAAAAATTATGGGTTTCTTGTTTATTTAAGAAACTTTATTTTGTTGTTTTGACAATATAGTGATGCGGTCTTCTGTGTTGGAATCGTTGAGCCTTGTAAGAAATTTGTAAGTCCTATCCTACTTCCACATTAGGCCTAGGCTTGCGTTTGTTTGTACACAGGGCTGCTTCCAATTGCGAGTTGCGACTGAAGGCTATGATGGTAAAGTTGCCTAATTGATTAATTGAGAAATAAGTCTTCATGATTACTCGTGATTAGATGAGTGCTTGTAACTATCATCACACATGTACACCACGAGGGTTATCTCTGAAGAGTGTCTACTATGATATAACCAATACGTAGCTCACCCTTGGATCTGACTCGAATGTCATCGATGTGCTTAAAGTCTAGCCTTAACAAAACTGAGAAGGGTTGCTTTGAGGTGAATGTTGGGTCTGCGATGTTACCCAATTGAGAGTATGGGACTCGATGGATGTTGATTTTGACAAAAGAGGGTGGTTATGACGAGACTAACTGAGTCTCACATTATTAAGCTAAGGCTCTGCTTTGAGTTATACCTGTTTTTGTTTCAAAATTTCTTCATTTTTAAAAACTTTTGCTTAAGACCAATGAGTTCTACCCTTTTTTGGTCAAAATTTCTTTATTTTTAACAACTTGTGCTTAAGACTGATGATGGAACACTGTCTTAATTGGCATAATTCGATTACCGTTTGTTCTTAGATTTACCATTATTTGAAAGATACAATATTGTGCAATCGTTGATATGTCCTGGCTACTCTTGCAATATGGAAACTATCACTTGGAATCAGAATTTTTGAAAAATCAATTCAAAACTAAATTTTTTTTTTTAAAATTTTTTATATGGAAACTATCACTTGGAATCAGAATTTTTGAAAAATGTTCGGACATAAACTGCTAACATACTTGTGCCATCCTTTGTTCTTAGATTTACCATTATTTGAAAGATACAATATTGTGCAATCGTTGATATGTCCTGGCTACTCTTGCAATATGGAAACTATCACTTGGAATCAGAATTTTTGAAAAATCAATTCAAAACTAAATTTTTTTTTTTTAAATTTTTTATATGGAAACTATCACTTGGAATCAGAATTTTTGAAAAATGTTCGGACATAAACTGCTAACATACTTGTGCCATCTTGCTGCTTTTTCTAGCTTTGTTCTATTTTTTTATTCATTCATCTAAATTTCCTTTTTTGTCTGGCTGGTGGTCTATTTTAGCTTTATAATTAAGTGCTCAAATAAGGAAGAATGTTTAATTTTTTACATTATCCCCACCTCCCTTTACATGCACACATGATAATGATTTTCGCTGCTATTCTTGAAAGTAACTTTTGATATATCATAGAGTTGAAGGCTATTTGACTATCTAAATTGTGCATATCTGATCATGGTCATTCTGTTTCCTTACTGTTTGCAGAATTTATACGATGGATGTCCCTACTAATCACATCGAGAACTCCAATTCAGATCTGCAGCCTAATAAACGCCGGAGAAAAAAGTCCATTGTCTGGGACCACTTCACCATTGAAACTATTAATGCTGACTGTATCAGGGCTCTCTGTAAGCAATGCAAGAAATCATTTGCTTATATATCTGGCTCAAAATTATCTGGCACCAGTCACTTGAAACGGCATATTTCCTTGGGGATCTGCCCCGTGAGTCGGTGTAATGAAGAGAAAAATCAGCTCCATATATTCACTCCAGATGCCAAATCTGATGTTTCTGAGAATGGTACAGTCCGAACAAGAAAGCGTTACCGGGCTAACCCTGGACCTGCTAGTATCTCTTTTGATCAGGACCTATGCTGTCATGAAATTGCAAAAATGATTATCCAGCATGAATATCCTCTTCGCATGGTTGAAGATTCTGGCTTTATTGATTTTGCAAGGTGTCTTCATCCCCATTTTAATGCAATGAGTACCAATACTGTCCAAGAATACATTATGGGCATTTATTTCAGAGAGAAGCAAAAGCTTCTGAACCTTGTTACTGGAATTGCAGGACGAGTTAGTCTTACTCTGGATTTGTGGACTTCAGATCAAAGGGTGTCTTACGGACTCCTAACGGGACACTTCATTGGTTGCGACTGGAAACTGCATAGGCGGATCTTCAATGTTGCAATGTTACCATATCCTGATTCAGAAACCAGCTTTATTCACGCCATCGCATCTTCTCTAAATGACTGGGGTTCGGAGAGCAAGCTGTTTACTCTCACTCTTGATCAATTCCATACAAATGAAAATGCAAAGAGGAATCTTAGAGGTCTCCTATCAATCAAGAACTCCCGTATTCTCACTGGCCAGCTATTAATTAACAGTTGTTATACTTGTACTCTGACGAGGCTTGCACAGGATGCAGTAGGGTTTATTCAGGAAACTGTTCAGAAGGTCCGTGACAGTGTCAAGTATGTGAAAATTTCTGAAGTTCGTGAAGAAAGATTCATCAAACTGAAACAACAGCTTCAAGTGCCCAGTACAAAGAACTTAATTGTTGATGACCTTACCAAATGGAATACTACATATCACATGTTGATGGCTGCTTCTGAACTAAAGGAAGTATTTTCATGCCTGGATACTTCTGATCCAGATTATAAGAGCACTCCAACAATGGACGAGTGGAGACAAGTGGAAACTCTTTGCACTTACTTAAAGATTTTCTACGAGGCAGCCAACATTCTAACATCCCCTTTGTATCCGACTACCAATACATTCTTCCACGAACTGTGGAAAATTCAGCTAGAACTGATGCATGCTGTTACGAGCCCAGATCTCTTTGTCAGCAACCTTACCAGACCATTGCATGAGAAATTCACTAGATATTGGGAGGACTGTAACCTAGTCTTGGCAGTTGCTGTAGTTATGGACCCAAGGTTCAAAATGAAGCTCGTGGAGTTCAGCTTTTCCAGAATCTATGGTGAGGATGCAGACAATTGGATCAAGATCGTTGATGAAGACGTGCACGAACTTTATCTTGAGTACGTTGTGCAATGCCTTCCTCCACCGACTTTTATAGGAGGAAATGAGGCTGTTGCAAAAACAGAGATCCCTCAAGAAGAAGGTGGTTTTCCTAATGGTGATATTGAGTTTTCGGATTATGACATCTACATTTCGGATATAATGAATGGCCAACAGATGAAATCAGAATTAGATCAGTATCTAGAAGAATCTCTTTTACCTCGCGTCCAAGATTTTGACGTTCTAGGTTGGTGGAGAGTAAATAGATCGAAATACCCAACTTTGTCAAAAATGGCTTGTGATGTATTATCAATTCCAGTGTCCACCGTACCTCCTTATTCTGTGTTCGATACAAGAACGAGAAAGATGAATAGCTACCGAAGTTCATTAAGACCAACGGTACTTGAGGCTCTTATCTGTGCAAAGGATTGGTTGCAGTATGAACATTCAGAAATGTCATTTGGAATTACAGAAGTTCCTAGTACAGTTGTTAAAACAGATTTCTGAGAGAACAAATATTATTTTTTCTTGTAGATGATATCGTTCTGATTATTTTTTTGGGTAATTATATTGTTTACTCATTATATTTTTGTCTAAGAAGATAATTGATTTTTAGAGTACAAATGAAAGATGATAGTCTATTTTTCTTCATCGGTTTAATTTTGTAAAACAAGAATCGAAGAATTCTTTATCTATTAACTTAATTGTTATCTCGCCGTATCAATTGCTAAGCAAAGGAGGTAGCTGTTTTGGATTTTTCAAGATTTAAGAACAAATATAATGACATGTCAAAGTATGGATTTATATGCAAGTATTATCATTTAGTTTATGATCAGTAAGAAGAATGCAACGTATTAAACATTTCTCACAATTGGTACAATACTCTCTGATCTAATCCGCATACATAAGAATCGAAGAATTCTTTATCTATTAACTTAATTGTCATCTCGCCGTATCAATTGCTAAGCAAAGGAGGTAGCTGTTTTGGATTTTTCAAGATTTAAGAACAAATATAATGACATGTCAAAGTATGGATTTATATGCAAGTATTATCACTTAGTTTATGATCAGTAAGAAGAATGCAACGTATTAAACATTTCTCACAATTGGTACAATACTCTCTGATCTAATCCGCATACAAAGAAGACAACAGCTGAACATCAAGGGAAATTAATCTCTCACTACCTTAAGTCATTAATTTTGTTATCAGATAACATGTTTTAAATTAATCAGTTGACCAGAGACATATATGCTCACAAATGAAGCATTAAAACATAATATTTAACTAATTCACTGATTTCACTCCATGAAACATTTCTTTGCAATTTACTATATGATCAAAACACATTAGAACAATTACTCATGACTGAAATAAACACGATTCTATTCAGCACTATACGAGTTAACAATCAATACATTGGCTGATGAAAGACACATAATTGAAATAGCTATCCAAGAAGAGGTGAAAAACTATTTGAGACATCATCACCTACAAACGATAAATGCAAAACTACAGAAACAGATTGATTAGGATTACCAAGAGGCCTTCAATTAGACCCGGGGTCGAGCACAGGAAGCCGGCAATGCAGACTGATCGATTTATCGGTTTGCCTAGTACCCGGAATAAAGAACTGAAAAATCACAGTCAAGCAAGAAACCTGTGGCGCAATTCCATAAAAAGCACAATCTGGCCTTGCCAAACTGCATTGTAAACTCTTGAAAAAGTGCTTGACACTCACTTGGACTGTCATTGCATCCCCTCTCTGCACAGCTCTCTCAGTCCTACTCTGAGCACTCAAGTTCCCATCCTCAGGCCGCTCATCCGCATGCTCACCAATCACCATCAGCTTCCTAAAGTCGGCCCCAAGCCTGACCAAAGTAGTTGACATCTGCAAATGCAAATCACCGTACTTACTTATCGAAACCCCCATCACATCTCCCACATGCTTCATCCTATCAACAAAATTCTGTAACGAATTCAGCTCTGGAACTTTAACTAATGTCTTGGGCATTTCCTGAGCACCATCCAGCGCCATCTGTAGCTCCTGAACATCAGCCCTCGATAAGGGTTTCGATATGGGCACATCCTGTATGACAGCAGATTTACTACCTTTAGTTTCAAACGTCAAAAACGGCATTGGCTGGTTCGAATGCGGTGGCAATTTCTTGACTAACTTTATCTGTAAACGACCAAAATTAAAATCCGGCGGATTGTGGGCCTCGCCGGATTCTGCGTAAATGGTGAGGATGCTGCGTAGTGCTCTGTGGAGGAGTGTAAGGTCAATGGAAAAGGCAATTTGATCGTCGTTTTGGCTAGAAATTCGGTAATCTTCGAAAAGGGCTTCTTTCTTGAACTGGGCTATGGATTGAATTCCATGGCCATTGAGGAGATTGTGGAGGAAGATGGCGTGGTCACGGGTCAAATAGAGATGGGAAACTTTGCCCATTTTGTCTAATGCTGGGAGGGTTCTCTTCTCCAGGAGATTTATGCCATTTTCTGTGAGAAATGCTTTGAATTTCATTTTGATGGACGAATTTTTGCGGATTGTGAAAGAAGAGTAAGGGTTCCGGAATTGGGAAAATTGGAGGGAAGTGATATTATTAGCGAAGTCGCAAAACCAAATTAGTTTTGGAGAATTACAGAATTGGTCCCTAACCTATTGTTCAAGTAGCATGGTAGACATTAATGTTTGATATTGAGGAAGTTTCTCCAATTGTTTCACTATAATTGCATCTCTAGACATGTCTTGTATAGCATTGAAGAACTTTTAAGGGAATAAGACACTACTACTATGATATAAAAACCACATTTCACAACCCTCTCCCTAAATACTTTCATAAATCAGGTGGTAATTCAAATTAATAAATATATACTTATAAGATAATAGACATTAAGCATTTGTTTCTTTTCCATTATTTTCTCATTAAAATGAAAAATATGATCGTTATCCATCACATCAAATCACCAAATTTGAATTTCTATCTCTTGTGTGGAACTCGTAACGACTATATTTTTCATCATTATTCTTTTAAAAATGAGTTACAAACGGGCCTAAATTAAAATTAAACATATGATGTGAAAGTACATCATACAAGTTAGATATTCTACCATATTTATTTAAAGGATCTCTCTCTCTCTCTCTCTCACACACACACAAAATCAAACAATTTTTCTCTATCTACCTACCTGACTCCAAAATCATTGCAAATTCTCCATTAATCCTTGATTTCGAGCCACGATCAACGAATAAAGTTACAATCCCAAAGACTCACTTGTTATGTTCATTCTTTGGACAAATAGAAGCTATAATTTTCCCAGCCATTGATTTCCTTATTCAGTGAACAAGAATCAAATCAAAACATATAAACATTCTTACAGTAAATTGTGGCTTGTTTTCTCCAGCTCTTTCACTTTTCTGCCATGGTTGTGAATAAATACAAACTTAGGAGTAATATAAAGAGCTTCAATCTTTTTGGCATAGGGTGTGGTGTTGGTTTGATATCAATTGATTTGGCTTTGGATCTTCTTCAAGTTCATCCAAATTCAAAAGCACTTGTTGTCGCACTGAAATTATGAATCCCACTTATTATCAAGGTTACAAAAGAGTCTTGCTTCTTCCAAATTGTCTATTTTACATGGGCAATGCTGTTGTTCTTTTTTTGAACAAAATGGGTGACAGAAAATCACTCTTAATTATCATCAAGTTCGATTTCACTTTGATTATTTATGATCAGATCAATCTTAACTGTAATGTATGTGACCAAGTCAATGTAATTTAGTCACATACAATCACAAATGATTGCAGTTAACACGGATTTGATCACAACCAATCCCAATCAACATAGACTTGGTTAAAAATGGCCATCACAAAGTAATTCACACATACCATGGACCAACACCACTGCACATAAAGTTACATTCTGTTACAATTAGCAGTAAAATGGTCACAACCGATCATAATCAATACATATTTGGTCATAGAGAATCACCACAAATAAATTCGGATACATCGCAAACCAACAACACAACACAACACAACTCATATAGTCACAGTTGATCATGTCATCAGGTCTATCCCAACAACTACGATCTGCTTTAAGATTGCCCATCTGTCAAAAATTAAAATGTCGAAACAATACGATTTATTTTTTAGTTTCACTTTACTCAAATAGGCCCCCAAGAACTCCACCTCACAATATCATTGCTTATAGTGTCACGATTCCTCTTACAACCGTCAACCCGGCCCCCTAATTTCTATTCCTAGAGTCAAATTGTTAAGACTAGATTGAAACGATTCTCTACTATTTCGAAAATTTCATCACAAAATGGCTTGGTTTGTGCTGAGGAGGATAATTGGGGGGTGCAAAGAGTGGGATTTGAAGTTGAGGAAGGAGGTCAAGGCGACTACGACCAAGAGAGAAACAGTAGTATCGTTGGGAATGTTGAGGGAGAAATTAGAGAGAAATTGGTGAGAAAGCAGTGCAAGAAATTGGCGAGAAATGGTGAAAGAGATGTAGTGATAAAAATGATTTTCATATTAATAATGTTGTATTAAGTATGTTAATAAATTTGTATTCTGACATGATTTGTGAAAGTAAAATTAAGGAAAAAAAATCATATTTCAGATGTATTGCTTAAACCAATTCAAAATTTAGGTAGATAGTTTAAAAATTAAAAATTCAGATATATATATATATATAATTAAAAATATTTATTAACTAATGGTCACAGATACATAAATAAATGTCATAATTAATTTATTGGCCCCATATTATCAAATTAATTAGTCACAAATTAAATATTATAGATCACAATTCATTTGTCGGTCACAAATTTTCAAATTAATTGATCACAAATTATTTTGCAGTCACATATTATCAAATTTTTAGGTCACAACAAAGTAATTGGCCACAGATGACAAAATAATTGGTCATGTATCACCATCACCATTGTCGACCACCACCACCATCGCCAATACCTCCAATCACCACCGCAACCTCATGCCCACGTCCAGTACCACTACCACCACCCAAATCTACTGCACAACCACTACAAAAAACAAAGTCATTGTTGAAAATCGCCACCACCATCACCACACCACAACAACACCACTTGCTCACACACCACTACAAATAGATCACACCAACTTGTCAAACCTAACACTACCACTTGTTACCTACCTAGATCGACTACACCACCATCATCATCGTCGATCGCCACCTCAATCAAAACCACCACCACTACAATCACACCCTGACATCACCATTGTGAAAAACCACATCAGCCCCAAACCATCGCTGAAAATCACCACAAGCAGCCTCCACGACCATGACCACACCTCGACATCGCCACCGTTGAAAATCACAGTAGCCCCAAACCACCACATAATAAAAATCGTACCACAGAAAGTAGTGACTAAGGTTTTGACTCCACGATGCTCACATTTGCGACAAGCAACCTCCACCATACCACGTCGCCACCGCTGAAAACCACAATAGCCCCCAAACCGCTACTACCATCATACCCCGACGCTATCACCATTGAAAACCACAGCAGCTTCAAACTACTACTACCACCACCACACCCGGACGCCGCCACACCCACTATTGTGGCGATAGCTTTGGAAAGACAAGGAATTGTCACCGAAGAGGGAATGAGGCATCACCATTGGGTAGTGGTGATTGGCAGGGACACAACAAAGTTAAAGAGAGGCGAGAATTGAGAGAAAGAAGATAGATGAAATTGATTAGGGTTTGGAAGTTAAATTTGGATATTTAATTATTATATCATATCTGATTTTTGTATAATGAAACTTGATCCCTGGTTTTTGAATTTTAATCTTTAAATCCCTGCTATTATGTAATTTTTGCTATAATTTATATGTAGGGTTTTGAATAATTTTCCCAAATTTTTTATGAGGGAAGAATACATAAATCAGGCATTTACTATACCTCATTTCATTTTTAAGAAACAAACTTTAAAAGTTCAAAACTCAAGTGGTAATTATAAATATTTTATGTAAAATAAATTATAATAAATATACATCCTAAAATAACGCTTTCACAGTTACCATTCTAAATATGACTATCCAAAACAAGAAATCGTAAATACCGAGCAAAAATAGAAGAGCTGCAGAGATCTCTTCAGATCAAATAGTCTCTATTATCATCGCCAAAATCTGATTGTTTGAAAATCATAAAATTATTGAAATCATAAATTGAAAGATATCAGAAGATCAAATAAAGATAGAATCTATAAAGAACTCATCGAGGTAAATAACTTCGATTCTCACAATTGAAATCAGGTTGATTGAAACTCGTCAAACGATTAATGTCATAAATTGAAAGTTGTCGGCACTGTGTAAGAAAATATCAAACAAAAAGAGAATCTATAGAAAACTTAACTGGAGCAAACAACTTTGATTCTCATCGCCAAAATTTGGTTATTAGAAGTTGCGGCATCGTGTAACAGAATTTTTGAAGGCAACGGTAACAACTAAGGTCATAGAAATCAATGGCCTATAATCAGTTCCCATGAATTCGACCTACGCACTATGCATTATAACTTGTGACCTGTTACATGTGATCTGTGACCTATAAACGGTTAAATGTGATATTGATCCAATGGCATGTGATCATTCCTCTTGAATTTGTGACCTGTGGACCTTGATCTATAACATATACAACATGAACTGTGATATGTTATTAGTGCACAAAGACATGTAATATATGATATATGACAAATTAATTTTAATCTGTTTACATTAATCTGTGACCTATACAAATGATCTATGGATTGTGGCCTATGCCTATGGATCGTGACATGCAAACATGATTTGTGACTTGTGGACATTTATCTGTGACCTATTCACAAAGACTTGTGATCTAGTAGTTATGACCTGTGACCTATCAACTGTTACTTGTAATATTGATCCAAAGACCCGTGACAAGTTCTCTAGGATAAGTGACATGTGAGCTATGCACTATGACACGTGGACGATTACATGTGATCTGTGACCATAAATTGCATCACCATTGTCGATGTCACCTAAATCATTGGCGATGCTTCATATGCACAACCCATCTCTACCACAACCACCGCTATCACCACTTGCAACACAATAGTGCCATTGTTGCCTCCTACACCACATTCTGTACTAAAACCCATAGCCGCCGCCACATCCACATCTAATCCAAAATTAACACCATTTCCATCTCCACCTCTACAATCGCCAGCACCACCAACATTCTGTCATCAAATAAATCACAAACTACAGTTGCTCAAAAATAGATCTACACATTTATTCTTTATAGGTTGAAAATGGCGTCATATAATGGTGACCTGATACAGCCACATTTCAACCTAAACGCCGTTGTTATGACATGGAGATATAATAAACAGCTTGGAACTGTGGAAATCTTCAGTGAAATATGAAACAAAATGGACTCAACGAGCACTTTCTTCAACGGTTTATTGAAGGTAATTGGAGATTTCTCCACTAGGGTTTCAAGATTCGCTATATATTAACAAAAACCCAAAAATTTCATTGTATTAATTTATAGTTATGTGCATATTTAATATGTGTATGTATATGTATA